CGAACCGGCAACCTTCTTGCTGCGAGGCAACAGTGCTACCAACTGCGCCACCTTGCAGCCCAGCCTGATAACCATCCTGATCATTTGAATCAGGTGTGTTGGAAGAGGGAAACATCTAAAACATGCAGGATTGCGGCCCTCGAGGACCAGGATTCCACACCCCTGCTATAAGACCTTTGGGTCAGAACCACCTGTGAGCTAGAACTCATTCCTAACATCTGTGCCGATCCTCACAACGGCTCCCTGAAGCCAGGATTTAAAAATCTTATGGAAAGCATTCTTAGATGAGTGGTAGATTTTTAAAAAGTCTAACATGTAACAGGTCATTCTTGTTGCTGTGCAGTGTTTGCGATTCCTTTCTGCAAAACTTGCCCACGTTAGTCTGTAAAGCTTCATATGTTTTACATTTTTATCACATGGGGTCGGACACGCACGGAGCCGTGTCTTGCGACGCTCTAGGTAGATTCTCCAAGATTAATTTTATGTATCTCATTCTCTTGAGTACGTCTCTCAACATTTACAAGCACACCATATGCCACGCAGCCAGCGTGCACGTAGCTGGAGAATACTAAACAGCCAGCGCACATGAGCGGAGTGAAATGACTTTACTGTATGTGAGGTTAAGCTCTCTATAAAATTCTCTTTTAAAGTCTGTTATCGCTAATATTATTCCATCATAACAACTTCGCTCCCCCCCCGTGCGTTACCATGGCGAGGCCTCCTATCTCCCGAACAGCCATGTAGAGCTTCCAGAGGTCCAGCGGCTTCTTGCCCACGGCGGGAAGCTGGGCAACAGGTGTGCCCCGCTCCTCCATGAAGGTCAGGTATCGCTCCACCCAGCCTCGCCTCTCCGGCTCCACGCCCAGCTCGTACAGCCGCGTGATTCGCTCGCCGCTGAGGGTGGAGGAGTTTGGGTTGGCTTTCTGGTGAGGGACAGAGAAAAATAAAGAAAAGTGGCTCTTTATGAGATGACACATAACTCTGTTTGTATTCTAAAAATTAAAAAAAAGCAGACTACATGTATAAAAGGACAGTAATAAAGTTGTTTTCATACTTTCCTACTGCATACTTGACATGTGTGGACACATAATATAAATAATTTCCCTTTTTTAGATGTAGTAATCTCACTGAAAGTATGTTCTCTATATTCTATTCCTTACAGCACAATCTACTCTGCAGTTTATTTTTTTTCTTTGCCTTCTCCTTTCGCTGTTTCTCTGCTACAGCAACCCACTCTCCCCATGAGGATCATTAAAGTTTCATCCCTTATTTACACATTCTGAAGTGGGCCCTTGGTTGAATGACCAAGCAAAAAAAATAAACACTTCTTTCGAGCATTTTCGTTCAGCGCGCAAGCCTGTGTGTGTATTTCAAAGTTCATTCACGGCGCATTCATATCCCTCAAGTTCAAATTGGTGGACAAAGTTTAATCCCACACAGCAGCGTCTGGCTCCGGTCCAGGTTCAGAGAGACGTCTGTGGTCTAAGTACCAGCTTTTGATCAAGTAATTACACGATAATCCTTCAGCTTGTCCATAAACAGAAATTCACTTAAGTAGCTTGTTTTTTTTGGGGGGCGCGTTTTTTTCTTTTTTATTTGCGCCTGAATAGCATATGTACAAATATGACATGGAATTTGTGTATTTGGTTAGTAAAATGCATCCGTGCAAACAGCAACAGCAACAACAACGGCCGTCCTCGTGGCTCTTACGGGGCTGGAGGGAGTCTTGAGCGGCCAGGGGGGGCTGCTGATGCTGTCGCTGTCGTCCCCGTGGTAGGAGGAGAGGCTGGCGGGGCTGGGCGAGAGCGGGGAGGGCACGGGGAGGGCGCCGCCCGGGGTGGCCGGCTGGGACGCGCACTGCTGGGAGCCGCCGCCGCTGCTGCTGCTGTTGTTGTTGATGTAACCGTCCTGTAGCTGTTGAGGAGAGATCGATGACAGAGATATTATGCTTTTTATTTTTTTTTAACTCACACATTTCATGCAATACGTGGGGCCCGGCTTGTAAAACACAATTATGGATTCACTGAATGCTAAATAGTCAAAACTAGCTCCACCTTAACCAGCATTGTGCCGTTTAAAGCAATGCATCAGTAATATTAATCCAATTATAAGACACATAAATGATAAAGCACCTCATAAAGGGCCTAACAAGAGGCAGAATGAATACTACTGACATTAAAGGGCATTTTCTAATGACGTTTCTAGCTTTATAATAACACTTTTATAATAATAGTCTGAATGCTGCTTCCTGCTACTTTGTCTGCAGAGCGAGTGTGTGTGTGTGAAAGACTTTTTATGCTTAGCTGTTACCGCGTGCACACTATTTGCATGTCAAGATCTGGATAAGAGTTTGAACATGCATGCAGATCAGTATGTATTAGTGTGTGTGTGTGTGTGTGTGTGTGTGTGTGTGTGTGTGTGTGAATCTCAACACAAGCTTCACTTTTTGTGTAAATCACCCCATGTGTGCAAGTTTGCGTCCGGGTATGAGAGTTCTTCACTCTGTGTGTGTGTGTGTGTGTGTGTGTGTGTGTGTGTAAGAGACTGCGAAAAGAGGGAACAACAGCTTGACAAGTGCTTCTGGTCTGTGTACAGAATGCTCATGTCAGCAAAACCTTATCTTTCTCCCTCTCTCTTACCCTGTCTCTCGATCTCTCGCTCATTTTCTCTCTCTTGGCAGACAGATCATCTCTTTTGGGAGCACTGGGGGTCTTTCTGGCTGCTCTGACTGCCTTAAATAATTCAAAAGGCCCCACTACCGTAATCAGCAAAAGAAAAGACAGGGATTTGGAGGGAAAAAGACGTGTAGTGGATGTGATGGAGGCCCTCGTGTGTGTGTGTGTGTGTGAGTGTGTGTGTGTGTGGGAGAGGGGTTGTTAAGCAAAAACAAGGGGAGGGGGTAGAAAAGAGCAAAGAGCAGAGTTCTGTTGTTGCTGAGTTGAGCCAAGCCGAGCTGCTATTGTAGGGCAAAATGAGAAGTCAGCATTGTGTATTGGGACGTGTGTGTGTGTGTGTGGAAGTAGTGTTAAAGAGAAGAGTGATGCATATGTGTGTGTGACAGACTGAAAAGGCTAGTGTGTGTCTTTTTTTTTTTGTAGTTTTTATGTGTGTGTGTGTGTGTGTCTATATGCTCTGTATTTCTGTGTTGTTGTTTGAATGTGTGTACTGCAGATGCCAAGCCCTCTCTTTCTCTCTGTGTTTCTCTCTTTATTGCAGCTCGGGCTGCCAAAACATCAGCAAGAAGAGAGTGCTGGGGGCAAAAAACAAAGCGAGGAAAACATTAGGAATGGTAAATGTTAAACAAATCATTAAATATGGTGAGAAAACAACAGAGAAACGGCCCACTGTGCTGAGGCAGCATATGCTGATCAGATTTGGTTTGCTTCATTTGGGGGAGGAAGATCACAACAACACACACACACAAAAAAAGAAGGACACAAAACCAAACAAAAAAGCCAGAGAGGGAGGAAACGGCGAAGAAAAATGGGTTGAGGAAACGGTCAAAGAGGTACCTTTGGTTTGTGGGGCTCATTGGCGGGGCCGCTGTCGTCTTTGACGTCCGTTTTCGGTTTACCATCCGGGCTCATTATACCATCTCCCGACAGTCCCATAGGTCCTTCAACAGGCATGATCAAACAGTTACTAAAAGATATTTGTACCAAACTTTTTACAAATAAAAAAAGGCATGAACTAATGTGAAACTAAACACAGGATCATAGATGTTATTTTTTTCCCTTTTTACAATATGGATGCTTTTAACACAGCAGGATAAAAAGATAGACTTTTTTTTTTTTTTTTGTATACCGTTGATTCAATTTGTTTTAACTCCCTAAATGAATGGTGCCATCTTTGTGTGGGCTGAGAGCTGCTGGATAATGGTTTGTATAATGTCACAGACAAAGTCAGACAATGTAAAATGGTTTAATGTCTTTGCACAGTTGAAATGTTATGTTCTGTCTTCCTTTCTGTCTTCTCAAGGCCTCTCTAAAGCCTGTCCGGCCATTCATCTCAAATGGAAGATAGTGAAAGAAATGTATAAAAAGACTGCTTCTTTAAGAAGACATAGAAAAAGGAATGAGATAAGACTCGGCTAAAAGCAAGCCAATATGGCCTTTCAACTGTTTCAACAGTTTGGGAGAAATCATCCATGTTCTCACATATTCAAATTGGTAATAGAATGGAAAGGTTAGCATTCAAGAGATGTTGGCTGACAAGAAGATTTGTTTCTGTTTTCAAAGACATTTGCGTACCTTCATTGGGTTTCTACTTGAAGAAGGGTTAAGATCCTTAAGACTACTTTTCATAGCGCCAGCCGCATATTTCTTATTAACAGAGAGAAGGGGTCCTTGGATACAAGGCTCCCCTCTTTATTTTTCCCTTGTGTGCTGTGGCACGGTGGGAAAACTAATGGCTTTTTACCGTGCCCACGGGCAAACTAGATGAGTTTTGAGGAACCTTGGCACTCTAATTCGTTTGAAGTTTTCCAAATGTCACGCATTCTGATATTTGGTTTTGAATAAAAGCTGCCTTTCATTTTGGGAGCAACAGTGCTCTCTGATGTGCGTTTAGCAACAATGCAGCGGGGTGAAGGGCTGAAAGAAAAACTGATGCACCACATTAATCTCTGCTCACTGGAGGGCCAGCTCTACAGGAGAAGTAAAAGCAGCAAGAAAGTAACTGGCAAACTCTTGATTTCTTGGCCTCTTGCTCTTCTTCTTTTTCTTTTTGTCCCTTTCTCCTGTCTCTCCCTCTTTCTCTCTGTGTCTGTGAATGGAAACAGTCCTGGCTAAGTTCTGCACACACTGATATAAACACACGGGTTGAGTGGCGCAGTGTGCTTCTAACATTAACCAAGAGGGCTGGAGCTCAGTTTCTTTTATTAAACATGTTTTCAGAAGATTGCAATGCAGGATGAGCCAGCATAGGCGGGGTCACAGCTTCGTTTTGTTGAACTTGGGTATGAATGGGCTTTTGCTGTGTGAATAAATTTAGATAATTCGGCCAAATCGTCTCCCATGTCAGGTATGTGCGATTTCTCAATATCAGCGGGGATCAGATGCCGGCATTCGTCCATGTGTGTGTCAGTTACAAAGCATACAAGTAGACAATAATATAGAGCATAAAATATTCTCTTTCCGGCGGCATTAGTTAAATACCTGAGGGGGCCATACTGTAGCCTGGACCTTGTGCGTTGCCCGTGGCTGAACTGTTGTTGCCCGCTGGCTGACTGTAGGGGACAGTGCTCGCCTGGCTGATGCCGGGGCCTTGGTAGTTGCCCTGCCTACCGCGCGCACACACACACACAGACACACACACGCACACACACACAGAGGAGAAAGACGTTAGAAGACTTAGTGAAGATGAATCCAGCTAGATTCACAATGTGATGACAGGCTGTGAAGAGATAAGTGGGAAACAGTGAAAGCTGCAGAAGAACAGAAGTCACATAATCATACAGAGATATTTGGCAGTCTGTCACCGCCGTCCTCCTTTACTGTTGTAGTAAAAAAAACTGAGCAGCATGTATATCTGAAAGTCACAATAAAAAAGCAAAGTACACAACATATCCCTGATCAAACAAACAGCTCCTCCAAAAGACTGAAGACGAGCACGCGGCATCAGAAAAGAGAAAGTCTTCCATCCATCGCCTCCCCCCCCTTTCTCCTCTACAAATCCCCCCTCTGTTTTCTCCCTCTCTCTTCCTCCCTCTCCCTATCCCACAAGTCATAATTTAACTAATTAAGGTGTGCTTTTGGAGAGGATCATGTTATTTGTTGCCATGGTGACGGCAGAAATCAATGCCGCTCAACCTCCCTCCCTCATGCCTCCCGTCTCCCTCTCAGGCGGCTCATCACATGGTGTTGCAAGTGACATCAGAGGGGCTTATCTGCAACCTGCTGAATACAAGCCATCCGTTTGTGTGTGTGTGTGTGTGTGTGTGTGTGTGATTGAAGGCAGCATCTATCATTGCACGCCAGACAGGCCAAAGCCAGTGACATAGGGACTGAAAGGGAACACCATGTTTGGAACAATTTGGTCTATCTCCTGCTAACTCAAGATTATCTCCTGGACAACCGTATAAAAAGACTTGGAGAGAGAAGGAGGAGGAGGTGGAGGTGGAGGAGGGGGGAGGGATGAGAGACTGACAGAGGGGAAGGACATGTGAGGTGAAGAGAGACAGAGGCCTGAAAGATGGAAGAAAACACCTGGGAGCTCAAGGTGAAATAAAATTAGAGAGGAAGAGGCAGAGAACTGAGGAAGTCAAACGGTAGCGAACGGAAAGCAAAAAAAAAAAAAGCAGGAGGGGAGGCAGGGAAGCGAAACATGACAGACCACGAGAAGGAGTATTTGGCCCGAAATGCAGAGCCTGTTTTATGTGGACGAAAAACACAAATGCTATCCGGATTTATGTCAGTCAATTCCCTCCTAACTGGCATCCTTCTCTCTTTCACACAGACACATAATGTAATACCTCATGTTGGAACCGATACACATTGCCTAAGAGGAGGGATCGGCTTGGTAAACCTCCCTATAATCTCATCTCACAGATGTAATTAGTCATAGAGCACGGCTGATGATACATATGTAATCCCTCTATGGGGGCCGAGGTGCACAGGGGAGCTCCATGGCAAAGAAACAAGCACACCAAATCCATGCTTATCTGGCCCCATTTCCCTATAATGGGGGGAATATAGACTCCCTTCGTTCGCTGCCTACGTGTTCCCTAAAAAGCTCTGCGTGAGTCAAGACACAGAAATAAATTTACCTTTTGATCGTCGCACCTTCTCAAGCAAAGCAAAAAAAATTTATTCTGCATGCAAACTCCCACAAAAGAGACACGCCAGCGAGGAAAAATAAGTTTAGAGATGCCAAATGACTTCGAGCCTCATTTATCCATACTGTAAAATACGCCCCTCACCCACCTTGAGCGATATAAGCACACAAGCTCTCGTGTGAAATGGTGAAATCTCCAAATCAACAACAACAACAGTGGTTGGTGGTTTTCGACTGTGGCGCTCTCCCATTATGACTAATTCATGTCATAAAAAAGCCCATTAGAAAGCACTTGATGGAGGCACCGCACAGCGTTTAATCACACTTAATATATGCATGTGCTGCTATCGAGGATGGGGGGGGAAAGAAAGAAAGAAAGAAAGAAAAAAAACGGTACAGCGCATTCATCTTGCTCTCGGGCACCTTTGTGATGGAGAAGGGGGGTGGAGGGGTGGGAGAGGAGGAAGGCATCCTGTTGCCGCAGAGAGAGAAGGAGTGAGTGAAAGAAGAGTAGGGGGGAAAGAGGAGGGATGGCGAGGAGATGGAAATGGAGGGAGAGGAAGAAAACAAGAAAGGAGGCGGGAGGAGGGAAAGAGAGAAGGAGGAGGAGGAGGGATGGAAATTAAGGCGAGAAGAAGCCTGAGTGCTGTGTGTATGGGTCCCTGGTGGACCGATGGGGGGCGTATTTTCAGCTCAGGGCCCCAGAGCTGGAGGTAATCGCTGTTCCATGAGACTGAGCCGAGGGAACACACACACACACACACTCACACACACACACAGTCAGAAACACAGAAACAGCCATCCTAACACCATCAGGCCAGTGCACTCTCAGTTTGTTGTCTAGGAGTGGCCTGAGGAGGGAAGTGAAAGAAACAGCGAAGGGAAACGCTACTCGGTCTGAGCTCCCTCGGCCGGCGCTGTCCAACTTAGTTTTGACACAATATTGGAGCGAAAGTGGATGAAAATTCAGATTTGGCATTGAATCTTGGGTTTGAGCCGTCCACCTGAAATAAAGATCTTTGAAATGCACTTTAAAAAAAAAAAAAAAAACAACCCAGTGGCAGCTACAATCCTATTGTTTTTCAATATATTCTATCTAAATGCTCTACCCTAACTGTCCTTCACACACACACACACACAC